ATGCTTGAATTAAGAATACCATAACGTTCAAAATTCTGCTTTGAAACGCAAATGTCATAAGCACACAGATTAAAATGTTTTGTTCCAATGCACCTGACAGAGCAGTGTTCCACTTTAGGATAAAAGGTTCAGCCTATCTCCAGTTGTGTGATGCTCTGGGCATCACATTACTCAACCGTTTATAAAGCACCCAGGAAAACAGATGTCAGAGTATGCAAATCTGATCCTAAATATCTACTGACGCATCTCACTGTGCAGTAATAACGCATCTGATTGAATACTGAGGAATTAAAATCTCAAAGACACACACCAAACAAAATGCTGCAATGAACCAGAAGACAAGAAGGTCACGTTTTTGTAATGTAACAGCAGAAGAAACAATATTCTGCTGGTTTTGTCAGAACAAGAACTCAGGGTCTATTCTCAAAGGTTTTTTAAGGAGGCAATTCACATTTACACTTCACTGTAAAAGACCTTGGTTTCTCAGCATTCACATCTATGAATTTATTGAGATATTTCCTCAAGGAAACACATTTTTACCTAAGGCAAGAGGATGTCAGAAAGGAGGCCAGAAGTTTCATTAACCTGAGCTGTTATCTTATTCTGTAGCAATCAGACAATGGTTTGATGAAAGTATTTGCAATGTCGTGACAAATTTTGGAATATTTGAATCAAAAAGTAGATTTAAAGAGTACCTTTTGAAAAAGTGAAATCTTACTTTACCATTTTAAATAAGTGGCATCTATTTTTTTATTTTGCCTTTTCCCTCAAATCTACTTTAGTGGTTCGGAAGGTCAAAAAAAACACTCAAACAAAAATAACTTGTCATGCAAAATTAAACAGTGGTTTTATTTTCCCAACCAGCTTGCAAGCCTAAAATGTGTGGTACGAACCTAAAACTGATCAGCATAGCCCTGGTATGAGAAGGAGCACATGTTTTTCCCCATGTTGCTCATCTAGTTTGAATGTTGGAGCTCATTTAATTCTGATAACCCAGGCTCAGGTCTCTTCTGCTTCTACGTGCTATGAAGAGCAGGACTTTCTCATGGGAGTGCATGGGAGCGCATGAAACAAATTTAAATCAAATATTTTGTGATAAGTCGTCTTTCCAAGGCAGTAAATCTTTTATGAATTATCATCTCCTTGGCTTCTCGTTGTTTTAGCTCTGTCTGTGACCAGCAGAGAACATCACTAGCAAATTATCAATGCAGAGCAGCTCAAAAATTGTTTAATCAATGAGAGTTAGCAGTGTAGGCCTTTATTTTTAGAGCTACAGGCTTAAATTCATGAGAACTACACTCAAGATACTGGAAACATATCACTGTCACATAGTGAAAAGCGGCAATAACAGCACAGTAGGTGGATAAGGAGGGGAACAACATCACAGGCACTTAGAGAAAAGAAAAGTGAATACACTCTTGGCTAACAACCTGAAAGGTGCAGGAAAAAATGTCCACACTGCCAACAAGGAAAAAGTTATGAAGGATTTAATTTGCAGAACCCTGAAGACCTTAATGGAGAGAAAAAAAAAAAGGAAAAAGAAAAAAGGAAAAAGAAAAAAGAAAAAAGGAAAAAGGGAAAGGGAAAGGGAAAGGGAAAGGGAAAGGGAAAGGGAAAGGGAAAGGGAAAGGGAAAGGGAAAGGGAAAGGGAAAGGGAAAGGAAAAGGGAAAGGGAAAGGGAAAGGAAATGGGAAAGGAAAATACTTATAAAACAGCACTATCTGCCACAGTCTAAAATGAGAAGTCGTGAAAAATTGCATTGGTCCACAGTTTGATGAGTTTACCTTGTTTCTGTATAAATCAAGTGTTCAAATCAAGTTCTTTGCAGATATGAAGGGATTTAGTATAGTCCACAGAGAGCAGGGAATGGAGAAGAAATGATAACTCCTCATGCTTTTGCAGGTAGGCAAGGCATCATATGCAGTGGAGGTATCTCAGTTCCCAGCCCTAGTCACCAGGCAGTCCATTTCAAGAAATTAGTTCTTTTTTTCTCTGAAGTGCCATACGAGTAGAGACTACCTGGCTGAAATTCTATGATAAACTTTTATTTCCAACTGGCATAAAAGATCCCTCTATACTCCCTCACCCACTCTCCTCTATGGCAGTCACTGCTGTACCAGGTGACTACAACACATGAGAGGAATAGGAATGTGCTGACAACTCTGGGGTGAAAGTTTCTAGCCAAGTCTGGCACACAAAAACAATGATTTCTCTAAGTCTTATGCTGCAGTTCACAGAAGGTGAAAAAAGATATTGTAACCTCTGTTACAGACTCAATAAATATCTAGACCGCAATAGGGGACTGGCTGATGAGCCCAGTTCATCTCTGCTCACCGTCATGTTTCCTTGCTGTCAGGATTTTCCAAGGTTATTTTGACAACAAAAGTTGTTTGGATTCAGACCAAGTTGTCTACATCTGTGATTGCAAAGCAGTATCTTGGGATGACAGATGTTTAGCTATTTTGGCTTGCTTTTGAGCTAGTGTTGCTCAGTGAAGTTCTGGAGGCATTGCAGGAGCTGAAACCTGCACGTTGGGCACCTGCAGCTCTGTCTCATGAGCTGGCAATAGAGCTCAGGAGTCTTTTGAAGTGGGTACTATGGGGAGGTCATGACTTTCCTTAAGAAAACAACTGCAAGACATCTGCTCAAAAAAACAATCTTTCAAGGTAAATCCTGCCAAGAGCAGACATATCTTGATCCTTCATTTCTTTAGGATGAATTATCCAGGCTTTTGCAGCAACGCAAATCTGGTGATATCCAGCGAGCTGAGATTTTGACCTCCAAGTTTTATATATGTGTATGGGTGTGTGTACACATATATATCTTCTGCTACCTTCACTGAAGTCTACATTTAAATCGTGAATGTATGATGGCATGAACTGCTCTTTGTCAGAGTTAAAGAAGTTTCTTTAGCGTAGCTTTACCTCTGTTTTTAGGATGTCACATAGGGCTTGTGGTGAACTCATGTTGCTCAAGGGAGGTCATAATGTTCTACCCCACCACCTCATAGATACTGGCTGTGATGACATAGGAAAGGTTAAGCAGAGTGTAGGACTCAGCAGCATAATGGTTGAAATCCAACTCTGCTTTCTAGAGTACCTAGTACAGGAGACAACTCATGACCAGTGAGAAGGGAGGGGGCTGCTTTGCATTCTCCATCTTCATCTATCTATATGGACCCAGGGCTGGTGGCCATTAATCTTGCTACAAGGCAATGGCTAATTAGCAAAGTTTTTAAATCTGCAATATGCTCTTTCGCTGGATTTTAATGATTTTTTAACCAATAAAAAAGAACTTTATAATTTGAGTTTCTTAATTTATTATATTTAATTCTGAAAGTTTACCTCTGTTTCCAGAGAAATAGTCACGTACATGGTGTTGGTCTATATCGTGCTCAAAATATTTCTACATTAAACTTGTGCATATATGCCAAGCTCTGGTCAAATGTCTCTCAGGAGAACCACAGATCTAAATGCTTGGAATAAGTTTTAATTAAGTATGGAAACTTCCCAGAATGAAAAGAAAAACCCTTCTAAATATAGACATCTTAAACATCTTGCAAAAACCCACATTCAGTTGCCCCAGGCAATGGCTAGCCATATGGAAGAAATTGTCCAGACTTCTGGCATTTTCTGGCTTAGTTCAGGAAACCTCTAGGCCTTACTACATAAAGAAAAACTTCCCTATAAAAGATTAACTCCTAAAATATTCAATTGAAAACAGATTCTGGGAACAGATGGATCTAAAACTCTGTATTGCATTGTATAACCTCTAGAGGAGCTGGACTGGAAGCTAAGTAAGAATTAAAAATGCTTATATTTGGGCTTCTTTTCTCCTGGTCTATCATTCCACCTGGGTTATTTTACCAATATCCCAGTTACTTAATGAATTATTTAATAGAGGAGTGCATGTGGTGAGAACATCAATCAGCCAAAGTACTAACAGACCAAGGTAACAGTGACAACGAACAGCGACCAATGCAGTACTCAAAGAGACAGTAGGGTGCATCTCTGCACCACGCTCCAAGGATGCAGCACTTTGCACTGTCCTTCTCCGGCCTCCCAAACATGTTTCATAGTTAGAACAGAGGCCGGTGTGTTGACAGCTAGATAGCCTAAGTCTAATCTGGATAATTCTGAAACAGTGGCAAGAATCACAATTTCTTGTGACCTGGCACACAGTAAAGTAATGTGCTTGGCCATCAAGTGCAGAAAGAACGCCAAAGACAACTGGTAGACACATAGCGAAAACAAATACAACTCTAAGAGTTATGAGGAGTTGTTTACTTGATCTTTTTTTAGATTTCTTTACCATGAATAATTTTATTTCTGTGCTTCTTACTTTCTATGTTAACTATTAAAGACAAGAATCCTCAAGCTGCACCCTCGAAAAATATGAACTTGGTAAGCATACCTAGAAAAAACCAAACAAGCAAGCAAATGCATGCCAAAACAAGACGCTATCTTGCACAAGTAATTCTATCCCTAAAGAAGGAATGAAAGAATGGATAGTGTGTGCCAGAGATAAGTCGTACCACTGCATCTGAGGGCCACATTAAAACACAACTCATGAGGGCAATTTAAATGCCAGGAATTGGGAAAGTTGCATGCACGTAATGTAGTAACATATCAGTTGACAAAATAAATATATTTTAAGCATCAGGCCGTTCATATGAATGATGTTTGTAACAGGTTGTCTTATTATGAAAGCATTTCTGAGGTAGATGATGAGAGCAACTGAGCAGGAAAAAACTCCAACACTGTAGGATCCCGAACGTTGTGTTTTAGCTGTTGAAGCACACGTAGATGGACAGACGTTATACATTTCTAGCAAGTGGGTGAGTATCATTTCCATTGGCATAGAAATGGCAGAGGAATGGGGGAAAGCTAACAGGGCAAGTAATGAAATACATCGGAGAGAAATCAGCTTCCCTGCTCTGACTTCTGGATGGCTCCTGATCTTAAGGAATAATACACTGAAAAGTATCAAATGCTGCTTACCTTTCAATTTTTCAGCCAGCAAAGCAGCTTCGTGTTCAGAATAATGCATTATTGCCGGAGGAGAAGGAGGGCGCAGTCTGTCTTCTTCCATTTTGCGTCTGTGGCGTTCTTCTCTGGCCAGCATTCTTTGTTTGCATTCCCATTCATAAAAGTCATCTCTTGCCTGAGCAAAATCAACATGAAGGCGACCTGAATCCTTTTTGTCTGTGCTAGATCCTAATCTCATGCGGTAACCTGTAATCAACAAGCAGAGCTAACTGTTGCAGGACTTCTTTGCTTTTTTTTTTTTTTTTTTTAAGTGCAACTAAGTAAAAATGTACATTAAGAGATTCCCACATATCTACACATGATCTATTGATCATTGTATTTTCACAGGAAGATACACATTCAGCCACTTATTTTTCCTTGCAATTTTCAGCATCACCTATCAACATAGTAGATGAGCTGAAAAACTTGACCCAAAGGTACAGAATCTACATTCCTGTTTAAGACTTTCTTGAAACATGCCTTTTTCCTACTTGACATGCCCAACCTTCATAAGTGCAAAGGTCAGCTACACAAAAACAACTACTGAAAAAGAATTTGGTTTGATTTGAATGTGGAGTCATTCTTCCTCTGATCCTGTTGAGATCATGTGCAGTTTAGTGTTATTCTCCAGCCTGTCAAAGGAATAGGAAGTATGGGAAAAGGCTGAATTTTATAAAAATCATGACTATAGATGAATGAGAAAATTGTGCTGCATAAATTTCTGGGCCACAAAGTGAGTGGTGACATACCTACATTGATGCTAGATTTCAAATTTTGAGGCTTTACAATTGCAAACACTACTTCTCAATTCCCCCTTGGAAATAATCTGGCAGCAAATATAAACCACCTACGAATGAACTGAGTTCAGCATTCTTTAAAGTAGTTTTAAAAGTGTGGATGGATTTATTAGATGTTTGCAAGACCCCTTTCAGAACAAATAATGAAATCTGTCGTGCCTCATCTTTAGCAATGTACATATTCACAATTTCGTCAATGTATCATATACTAAAGCTAGCGGACTGCAAAGGCTGCATGCCAGGGGCTATGCCACTGTACAGCAGGGCCCTATTCTTAACTGAAACTGCTGTCAGAGGACAAACAAATCATGCCAAAGCTATAAAAGGAGTTTTTCGTGACCACACTGTGGAAGAACATATGCCGGGCACCTATCTTGTTTCAAGTTTTATTTCCAAGCCTGAAAGATACTTGCAGACCAGTTTCTCTAACTTCTAAAATGCTGATTCAGAGAAAGTGTAAGATGAACACTACGTAGAAAGCTGCAAACAGAGCCTTCAGATGCAGGTAAAATTAATCAGTCTGCACAGGGCTAGCTCTAATACCTCCATGCCAACCCACTGCAATGGCCTCAGAAGCAAAGCAGCCCAGCAGAAACTTCTCAAATCTCAGGATGCTGTGGAGATGAACCCTGAGCTGAGCTGGCATATAGTTCAGAAGCTCACACTACTACAACCACTGCATAATAACTCCAGAGACAAGAAGCTCCCATTCAAAATAGCAGGAAAAGTGGTGTTTGCTGCCTTTGAACAGCAATCCAGAAGAACCTACCTTTCAGTCTTGTGGTTTACCTGTGCTTTTAAGAGCTTCAGCACCTTACTATCACAGTTAAAACTCAGTTTTGAATTCTATCCAGGGACAGCAAAGCTAAGACTTGTGTAGCAGATTAGGAGCATCTTTGCAAAAATGCGTGTCTAGGCATACTCTGTTTGTCTTACTGCTGTAAAAACATCCTGCTCTATGAACACAAGGGACTGTCTGTACTACAGCACATATGAGACAATTGCTTCAGAGACATTAAATATCCATATATGTAGTGATGCTTTCAAAAAAAAACAATCCGGGTACCTTTTGATTTGACACTTTCCTTTCAAATATCTTGTGGAGTTCAACTAAGTAGCCTGACAGTGAGGAAGAGGTATGACTTTCATTTTCCAGTGAGCACTCTGAACCCAGATGGAAAACTCAAGCTAAGTGTTTCAGAAGTCCCTCAAAGCCAGAAGGCATCAAAAACTTCCATGGAACCTACCAAATCTTGTCTCCAAATTTCACAAGCCTGGGGCAAAGCAGGACTGAGTATTGCAAGAGAGGCAAATGAGGGGATTGTCTGTTATTTTAAAGTCGCATCTATTCTCCTCTGCTTTCTCTTGCTCAGAGGAGTAAATACTACTTTTTCCCCCAGAAGGTTGTTTGTGGTCATACATGTAGCTCTAGTCACAAGGTGTTGAAAGGAAGAATTAAAGATACACCATATTCAGTGAGACATAACAGAAGAAGAGTGTGGGTGACCTTTCAGAGCTGGGTCCTGAACTAATGAGGGGGTAATTATGTGGTTTTATCCACAGAGGTGTAGGCACAAAGGAGTCAGCCAAAAGGGGTCAGTGGTGCAGCTATCCTGATAACTGTGACAAATGTTACACCCCTCCCCACTTCCACTCGCCAGCTGCATTCCTCAAACAGTGATTGCTCTGCACCAAAACAGCATTATCAGCAATGTGAAAGGACGCTGCCAAGGTGCCAGGTCTCGTGAACCTAAAATTAGATTTCCCAGCCGGGCTGTACTTTCCAGGAAGACACAATGTCTCTTCCTCTCCCCTCTTCTTTCGCCTCCTTTGGCAGGAGCATGCTGGGCATGGACAGAGTGACAATGGCAGCACTGCAGGAAGTAAGACTCTTGTGGACTTCAAAGCCCCGCTTTGGACTGAGCGTCTGCAGTGTGCACCAGCAAATCCGAGTTTTACTAAAGTGGCCGTCATTTTTGAAGTCAACGGGGATAATGGAAAAAAAAACACAGAACAGTGTAAATCACAGTCCATAACCCTGTACCCTGTGTAGCACTGGACAAATGGTTCTCTTTAGGTAATCAGTTTAAGTGACTCCAAATTAATAGATTTCTGAAATTGCCCATGAATCACACTGAAAAAATATGACTGCTTGTTAAGATTCTTGTTAACTCTTAAGACTGAAGGTAGTCAGCCAGGCAGGTGGTTTCCACCATCAGAGAAACTTAGAATAACCTGAGTCTGAAGGGACCTCAGATGTCACCTAGTCCAATGCCCCTCTCAGAGTAGGCTCAACTTCTAAGTCAGATCAGGTTGCTCAGGGCTTGGCATGTTTGCTTTAACAAAAAAAGCTGACACCTTTGGGATGGCTTCTTACACCCTCCTACATCAGGCTTGGTGGACACAAGAGGACCAATGGTATGGTCAGTGAAGAACAGACTCCTTGATGGGTCGATAGCAGGCAAGATGCTGTGTAGGAAGGGGTGTACAACTGACAGGTCCTATTTTGTATATGGGATCCTCAAGCACCCATTTGGGTTGGCAACTTTGAACTGTGGAGCAAATGGGAGGCTCTCTCTTTTCCAATACCATGTCTCCTTATTGATGTTTGAGGGTATTTGAACATACGAGAGAACCACCTGCCACTGTGTCCCTTTCATGCACGGGCAATGAATTGCCCTCACAGACCCTTTTCCCCATGTCCTTGCTCAGGGCTGCAGCTAGCACTAACTGCGTGCCTAGCTTGTCATTTTTAATTTCAGTTTCGCATACAATGACAGAGAAAAAGACTTTGGGAACTTGCCAAGATCCTCACTTTAAAGGAGCAGCAATAGAAAAAATTAATGAGGGTGCTAAATAAAAATCAAACAAAGTATTACCATATCACAGGTCTAGTCAAAACTCCCTGGCTTGACTTACCTTTGAGTGTTGCTATATTGGGGACCAGCCAGCAGCTGATTTCTAACTGGGGATCTAGATCAGAGTGTTGATGATAATCAGCAAGAAAACAAAATATAGCCAGTACACGGTATTAAATGAAAACCCACAGGGGAAAATATCAGCACTGGAAAGACACATACACAGGTTTTCAGGGTATAAACAGGTCTGCCTCAAGCCACCTGTTTGTCTCATAATTTCAAGTCCAGGGCCATCAATATTTGCAGGAGTTACTGAATTGTCAGTCACAAGGGTAAAGTACATACAGTTTGGAAAAGAGCTTTCTCATGGGCTGGTATGTCAATTTTACAAAGTCTTTTCTTCAGGAGATCAAAATATAACTTTCAAGGTTAAATGAAAACTGTCATTGCTCAAGTCAACTTTATTATCATAGTTTTCTACCCACCTCCCAGTCTCCTTTTCATACACATTTACTTAGGAATAGAAAGGAAAAAAATCAGTGATTAAACTACTTGACGGATTTTGTAATCACTTGCACTATTCTGATGATAAGCATTGGATAAATACTAAGTTTGATGAGATTAGATGGGATAGACAGATAAAACTGATTAGTTAGACAAAATTATCATCATATTACAGATATCAAAGGCACGACTCTCCCCTAATATAAAACATATATCATATTAACCACAAATTTTGTTTGTATGTCTCTTTTGTCTCTAAGAGGGAAAAGAAATGCCTTAACAGTATTCTTTATCCCCACCCTTTCAGAATACATTATATTTGAGAATGGAATAAAGACTGGTTAAAATCCTCAATATTTCAGCACGAATAAAACATGTCCCTGCCTAGTGCCAGATACTCCTGCTCTGGGGTGCTAGGGGACAGTCAGCGCTCCCCGTTTCATCTGCAGACTTCAGTGCTGGTGGTAAAGAGAAGTGAAACTTGGCTGTAGTGTGCCCCTGCTTTGCTCCCTGCTCCCTCTCAGCTCCACTGGTTTCTTCCCTGATCTGATCACAGACACAAAGTACAACACTTCAGAAGAAAGAAAAAGCGTGGAGGAAAAGACAGACGGGAGGGAAGCTGCGGAGAGAGGGTGGAGCAGAGGGTAAGAGGAAGCATAGACAGCAGTGCGACTGTGATGGAAAGAAACAGAAGAAATGATGGATCAGGAACTTGGAAATAAACTGGCAGAAAATTCAATATGAGGAAGGGAATCCACCACCTCCATCTCTGCTTGTTTCCCTTACTCTGAATGCGCACTCTGGTGCATGATGAAGGAGGACACATAGCAGTGCAGGGAATTTCCTACCTCTAATCATCAAATCTGGCCCTCCAGGATTTAAGGTATATACAATTAAAATAAAACTTGACTTGCAGTGAAGCAAACGGTGCAGTCAACTGCTGAGAAGCAGGAAACTGAGCTAAAGGGGCACTGGCTCTAGCCCAGGGTGGCAGGCTGTGTATTTCTGAGCTTTTCTTTGCTCTCTTTCCTGCCGCTGTTCTGTTTATCACATACAGTAATCCCAGCTCCTACTGAATTTGGTGTGCTCTTCCTCGGCTCTGTTACTTGTGAAACTGAGACCCCTTAGGCAGAAGTTGGAAGCTGGAAAATACGCTACTAGTTCTTGCTACTGATGCCTGTAATCTCTGCCAATGAACTACAGTATTACAAAACCAGTAGGTGAATAAACAAATAAACAGGAAGGATGGAAAATAGAATGAGGAGGGAGGAAGAAACGAAGTGAAAATAAAAAAAAAAATAAAAGAGGAAGAAAAAAACAGGGTGAAATGACGATTTGGAAGACACCTGAAAATACAGCAATATTTCAAAGAAATCTTTATATAAACATCATAATACTCATCATTTTCCATAGCTCTTCAAACAGATATTTAAAGCAAACAGCCAAATCAGAAAAAAAGCCCAAAAATATCCAAGCATGAAAATCTTTGTGAAACAAAGGAGCTAGGTTTCTCCTGACCACACATTTCAAAAGTTCAGATGCTCTTTTCTTTTCTTTCTTTAATTTTAAGACATCGTTGATGGTGATTTGAGAGACCATTTGTTTCTAGCTGTTTGAGCTTCCTATGGACACCTATGGGATACTGAGGGTATGTCCTCACTGCTAAACAAAAGATGGTCAGGATGAGAATTCAGATAAGCTCCTCTTAATTGTTAGCTGTCTCGTTAGCTCCCTTTTGGGCAGTCCCAGTGGGTCTCTTCGAGGTTACCCTATGTCGAGTGGGTGGCTGTAAGCCAGTCTGTGTCAGATGGTCTTGGTCAAGAAACAGTACCTGGCCCTTGTTTAAAAATACCTTGCAAGTGGGGTGAAAATGTTACATGACACTTGTGGGGCAAAACAAAGTTTACGGGTCTCCCCAGGATCCAGAAAGAGAGATGAACCAGCCTATGGTGACAAATACACACAGGGGATGGGATCCAGCTCAGGAAGGTGAAGGATGGCTCAGTTAGGAAGCCAATCTTCCTACGAAGAAGCCTGTAACCTTAAGAGGGCACTGAAAGTCACTGAAGACATACATAAAAAAACAGAACTTGTTTTAATCTTTTTTTTCTTCCTTTCTTTTTTTTTTTTTCCTTCGTCTTTTTTTCCCCGTTGAGTTAGAGGTGGGTTTTTTTTCTGTTCTTTTCTTGGAAAATTGAAATTCTGAAATTTTACACCTGAGTTTCTGTGGCACTTGTTTTCCTAGGAGGTAACAGACGTACTCTATATATAAGGCTCAGAATCTAACCCATGTGGTAGCTGAATACATGCACACATAAAGGCGGGCTTTATTCAGACTACACTGCAAATCTATAAAAATATGCCAATGAAATTGCCAGCCTATCAGAGAAATTGGCACTGGAAAACAGCAGCGTCCCTGGCCTAGTGCCCTCCTCTTTCCACAACCTGTGAACAAAACTATATAAACCTGTGTAAATGGAAAATAAGATTGCTCTGTAGTGAATTTCAGGATCTGTTGCATTGTTGTGGGATGGCAGGAAATTCCTCCCGGGTAAGCAACACAGAAAACCGCGCACAAGCCTTGGCAGACACAGAGAATTACAGAATTGCCCTTTGCCACTCCGAGCTACAGCCACTGAGCTCACGAAAGACTTGCTGAGATAAAAGCTAAGAAAATAAGGACACATTAGCATCACAAAATACAAATGAGAAGCAAGGAAAATCCATTAAAGAATGTGAAGTACCAGAAAGGTAAATGGCTTTATCAACCATGAACTCCTCTGCAAAACGAATGTGACAAAAATTCTTCTTGCTTTTCCGAATTGCTGTTATATCTCCACACTGCTCAAAGACTTCCTGAATAATTTCCTCCGTTGCGTTTTCTGGTAATCCTCCGACAAACACTGTTTTACACCCAGGAGGTCTCTCTCTTGTTGAAGGTGGTGGAAGATCTAAGTCAAAACAGAAATCACATTGGAATACAAAATTTGTCTTTTGATCCATTAGTTCTATTCATTCCCCTAATCAGTTCTGGGCAGCAAGAGTTATTTGACATAGCATGGATGCAGGAGGGAGGGAGAAGCAAAATAATTGAATATTGCAGAGATTGCCCAAAAACGATTACTTGAATTTAAACTTTTTCAAGTTTTAGGTGGCGTTTCAGAGATTAATTCCCGCCACTATGGGTTGTTCTCCAGGACAGATGGTAAGGTCTAAAAGGACCTTTCTTTTCCCTGCACGGTCACACAAAAATGAGAAAATATTCTGTTTCAAAGCAGGGGAGCTTCTGCAACTGATTTGACCCTAAGCACAGGTCTCAAGCACTGGTGCAGTACATTCAAAGCCTGAACTTCACCATCTCTGGCTCATGCCCATCACTCGCCACGCTTGCCAAGTGTGTGGGCCCTCTGCAAGCAAGCCCGTGCTGCATACACCACGGGCACTTGGGCACCTTTCCCTGGTCTTAGCATAATTTCATTTCTGTCTCAGAGTACAGGAGCACAGCAAACAGAAAAACAAAGTGGGAAACACGATGAAGTGACAGCATGATGAAAATGCTCTGCCTGTTATCTGTTTTGTCTTGTTGCCTGATAACGGAGTGGACGCCAGCACACGGGAAGGATAACCTCGCTGTTTACAAGTGCTGGTGAGGTGGAGTGGCTAGAAATGTTTGTTTTATGTATATATACAGAGAATATATACACATTTGAATCAGAAAACTATTAAATTTTTGAAAGCTATATAAAAAAATATACTTTGTCATAACACTTCACCTTGTTTACATGTAGATGACTGGAGCATTCCTCTAAAAGTAATTCTCCAAGAAGGAATCTGATTGATATGACTTAGATTTTTAGCTCTTTAACTCAGTAAATTGGGTTACAAACTTAAAATGTACATATATATACACATTAGGCTAGGTTGGATGAGGCTTTGAGCAACCTGGTGTAGTGGAGCATGTCCCTGCCCATGGCAAGGGGGTTGGAACTAGATGATCTTTGAGGCCCCTTCCAACCCTAACCATTCTATGATTCACAGACACAGCCCTTAATCTGCTTAATTTTTTCTTTTGTCTTCACAGTGGCAGTGAAAGACTTCAGTCTGATAAACTTCTGGGGCTAACATACACAAAATCAGGCTTTATGACTGAGCTGGTGGCTCAGTGGGAAGAGTTTTCCATTTGCACAGTCCCAGGAAGAGCAGAGGAAGCTTGGTCCCTGCTCTCAAAGAGGAGAAGGAATTCATCTACCATGCTGCCCCCCAAAAAAATGGCAAGAGAGGAGCCATACTCCCCATTTCCCTCCATCTCCCCCAGGGAGGTACCAGAGCTAGTCAGCATTTGGGTGCAAGATGCTGTGTTCAGGGACACTAGCTCAGATTGGTCCCATTTAACTGCAGGTATCTGGAAGGTAGCATGGAGATCATCAGCAACGTATAACCACTATATTTTGTGACATTCTGATCTAAAGGAAATCTTAGAATCATAGAATGGTTAGGGTTGGAAGGGACCTTAAAGATCATCTAGTTCCAACCTCCCTGACATGGGCAGAGAAATCCTCCACTACACCAGGTTGCCCAAAGCCTCATCCAACCTGGCCTTGAACACTTCCAAGGATGGAGCATCCACAACTTCTCTGGGCAACCTGTTCCACTGCCTCACCACCCTCAGAGTGAAAAATTTTTTCCTTAGATCTAATAGAAATCTCTCCTCTTTCAGTTTAAATCCATTGCCCCTTGTCCTATCACTACACGCCCTTGTAAAAAGTCCCTTTCCAGCTTTCCTGTAGGCCCCCTTTAGGTACTGGAAAGCTGCTATAAGATCATCTCGGAGTCTTCTCTTCTCCAGGCTGAACAGCCCCGACTATCTTAGGCTGTCTTCATAGAAGAGGTGCTCCAGCCTTCAGATCATCATCGTGGCCAAGACAAAGACAGTTTAATAAATGAAAGAAAGAGGAACAA